TGTTCGTCAGTGATATTGGCCTGTAGTTTTCTTTCTTTGTGACATCCTTGTCTGGTTTTGGTATCAAGGTGATGGTGGCCTCGTAGAATGAATTTGGGAGTGTTCCTCCCTCTGCTATATTTTGGAAGAGTTTGAGAAGAATAGGTGTTAGCTCTTCTCTAAATGTTTGATAGAATTCGCCTGTGAAGCCATCTGGTCGTGGCCTTTTGTTTGTTGCAAGATTTTTAATCACAGTTTCAATTTCAGTGCTTGTGATTGGTCTGTTCATATTTTTTCTTTCTTCCTGATTCAGTCTTGGCAGGTTGTGCATTTCTAAGAATTTGTCCATTTCTTCCAGGTTGTCCATTTTATTGGCATAGAGTTGCTTGTAGTAATCTCTCATGATGTTTTGTATTTCTGCAGTGTCAGTTGCTACTTCTCCTTTTTCATTTCTATTTCTATTGATTTGAGTCTTCTCCCTTTTTTTCTTGATGAATCTGGCTAATGGTTTATCTATTTTGTTTATCTTCTCAAAGAACCAGCTTTTAGTTTTACTGATCTTTGCTATCATTTCCTTCATTTCTTTCTCATTTATTTCTGATCTGATTTTTATGATTTCTTTCCTTCTGCTAACTTTGGGTTATTTTGTTCTTCTTTCTCTAATGGCTTTAGGTGCAAGCTTAGGTTGTTTACTCGAGATGTTTCCTGTTTCTTAAGGTGGGCTTGTATTGCTATAAACTTCCCTCTTAGAACTGCTTTTGCTGCATCCCATAGGTTTTGGGTCGTCGTGTCTCCATCGTCATTTGTTTCTAGGTATTTATTTCCTCTTTGACTTCTTCAGTTATCACTTCGTTATTAAGTAGTGTTGTTTAGCCTCCATGTGTTTGTATTTTTTACAGATCTTTTCCTGTAATTGATATCTAGTCTCATAGCGTTGTGGTGGGAAAAGATACTTGATACAATTTCAATTTTCTTAAATTTACCAAGGCTTGATTTGTGACCCAAGATATGATCTATCCTGGAGAATGTTCCATGAGCACTTGAGAAAAATGTGTATTCTGTTGTTTTTGGGTGGAATGTCCTATAAATATCAATTAAGTCCATCTTGTTTAATGTATCATTTAAAGCTTGTGTTTCCTTATTTTCATTTTGGATGATCTGTCCATTGGTGTAAGTGGGGTGTTAAAGTCCCCTACTATGATTGTGTTACTGTCGATTTCCCCTTTTATGGCTGTTAGTATTTGCCTTATGTATTGAGGTGCTCCTATGTTGGGTGCATAAATATTTACAATTGTTATATCTTCTTCTTGGATCGATCCCTTGATCATTAATGTAGTGTCCTTCTTTGTCTCTTCTAATAGTCTTTATTTTAAAGTCTATTTTTTCTGATATGAGAATTGCTACTCCAGCTTTCTTTTGGTTTCCATTTGCATGGAATATCTTTGTCCATCCCCTTACTTTCAGTCTGTATGTGTCTCTAGTTCTGAAGTGGGTCTCTTGTAGACAGCATATATATGGGTCTTGTTTTTGTATCCATTCAGCCAATCTGTGTCTTTTGGTGGGAGCATTTAGTCCATTTACATTTAAGGTAATTATCGATATGTATGTTCCTATTCCCATTTTCTAAATTGTTTTGGGTTCGTTATTGTAGGTCTTTTCCTTCTCTTGTGTTTCTTGCCTAGAGAAGTTCCTTTAGCATTTGTTGTAAAGCTGGTTTGGTGGTGCTGAAGTCTCTCAGCTTTTGCTTGTCTGTAAAGGTTTTAATTTCTCCATCAAATCTGAATGGGATCCTTGCTGGGTAGAGTAATCTTTGTTGTACATTTTTCCCTTTCATCATTTTAAATATGTCCTGCCACTTCCTTCTGGCTTGCAGAGTTTCTGCTGAAAGATCAGCTGTTAACCTTATGGGGGTTCCCTTGTGTGTTATTTGTTGTTTTTCCCTTGCTGCTTTTAATATGCTTTCTTTGTATTTAATTTTTGACAGTTTGATTAATGTGTGTCTTGGCATATTTCTCCTTGGATTTATCCTGTATGGGACTCCCTGTGCCTCCTGGACTTGATTAACTATTTCCTTTCCCATATCAGGGAAGTTTTCAACTATAATCTCTTCAAATATTTTCTCAGACCCTTTCTTTTTCTCTTCTTCTGGAACCCCTATAATTCGAATATCGGTGCGTTTAATGTTGTCCCAGAGGTCTCTGAGACTGTCCTCAGTTCCTTTCATTCTTTTTTCTTTATTCTGCTCTGCAGTAGCTATTTCTGTCCCCAGTGGCTAAGGTTGGTTTAGTGGGTTGTGTAGGCTTCCTGGTGGAGGGGGCTAGTGCCTGTGTTCTGGTGGATGAGGCTGGATCTTGTCTCTGGTGGGCAGGTCCATGTCTGGTGGTGTGTTTGGGGTGTCTGTGGACTTATTATGATCTTAGGCAGCCTCTCTGCTAATGGGTGGGGTTGTGTACCTGTTTTGCTAGTTGTTTGGCATAAGGTGTCCAGCACTGTAGCTTGCTGGTCGTTGAGTGAAGCTAGGTGCTGACATTGAGATGGAGATCTCTGGGAGATTTTCGCCATTTGATATTATGTGGAGCTGGGAGGTCTCTTGTGGACCAGTGTCCTGAAGTTGGCTCTCCCATCTCAGAGGCAGGGCACTGACTCCTGGCTGCAGCACCAAGAGCCTTTCATCCACACAGCAAGTTCAGATTTTGTTGCTGCTTGATCTTTCACTCAGTCTTGAATTGTATCTGCTAGTTTAGGAGGGTCTCCTGTGGAGGCAGGGGTGGCTGTGGCTTGGTGCAGGGGCAAGGACACAGGCCTTTAAAATGTTTTTTATAAATAGTATCTTTTTCAAATTTTAGTTTCTACTAGTTGGCTGGTATTTAGAAATACAATTGATTTTTGTATTTTGATGTAGTATTCAGCAGCTTTGCTAATAACTTCATTTATCCTAATAGTTATACATTTGGAATATACATAATGCATCTGAACACAATGCATGTTCAAGAATGTTCATAAAACCCCAAACTTAGAAATAACCAAGCTTTTCATCATCAGGAGAATGGATTTTGACATTCATTCAATGGAATACCCATAGCAATGCAAATATGGATGAATCTCAAAAACATAATATTGAGCCAAAGAAGAGAACATACTATATAATTCCATTTCCGTGAAGTTCAACATAGGAATAACTAGTCTGTGGTGATAAAAGTGCAAATAACAGTGACTTTGGGGGAGTGCTGACTGGGAGAGGGTATGTGAGAGCCTGCTGTGGTGCTGGCAGTGTTTCACGTCTTGTTGTGGATATGGTTACACGTGTGTGTTCACTTCAGAATTTCATTCTGCTCTAGGCTTAACGTTTAGGTACTTTATGTATATTGTGTTTCAGAAGAAATTGGGCCGAATTCACCTGTTGAGTTTTTTTTTTTTAAATTAAGACTTTGTTTTTGAGCAGTTTGAGGTTTACAAAAAAATTGAGCGAGAAGTAGAGTACCCATATATCCCCGCATGTCCCCCTTCCCCTCCTCCAGTTTCCTCTGTTATTAACATCTTGCATTAGTGGGGTATGTTTGTTACAGTTGATAAGCCAATATGTTGGAACATTCACAGTTAGAAGCTACTAAATTAAGGAATTGTAGAATTGGTTGGAAAGGATCTTAGAGATGATTTGCCAGCCAACACAAGTTTACTGTGTCCCTAAAGCTTGATGGAAACAGAACTATAGCAGAATCTTAGAGACCTCACTTTTCATCGAATTTTTTGGCTACTGTACACATACATCAGCATTCCTACATATAGATTTCACCTAATGTATACTTGAACAAAGCTAATTTAAGGAAATACTTTCGAGATATTAAATAAAACCATAGATGTTTTTTGTCTTCTCACTTTTTATCAAAGATGTCTATTGTATATTCTGTGCTTAAGTTCAAAATCAGTTTCACTGTTTTAGAAAACAGGGTCGTTTGTGTTAACCGCATCACAGGTGTAGTAGGCAGCAAAGGCTGAGTGGTCAGTAAACAACACGTAATGTTGTATGTATACGTTTATGTTAAATTTGTGATTCAGTTTTTTCCTTGGAGAAAAGGATTTATAAAATTTAAAAATTTCTGCCAAACAGTTCACTGTTTTTTAATGTGAAATAGTGCACAATGATGGGCCAGTATATTGATGAAGTTCTTAAGGGTTCTTACCCAGAGAGCTCCCTTCATTTCACAGATTCTGCTGCTGTTATCAAGGTAGTACTTGCTGAGTGGTTACTCAGCCATTGTAAGGCTTTATGTGGATTAACTCGTTTAGTCTTCCCACCAACCCTATGAGATAAATGTCGTGATGAAAATTATTTAAGAAATATGTCTGTAATAAGCTGTTCGTGGCCTACCGATGCCACCTGTCTTCCCTTCTATAATCACTATAATTACTGCTATTAAATTGTCCCTTTTTTTTTTTGTGGTACGCGGGCCTCTCACTGTTGTGGCCTCTCCCATTGCGGAGCACAGGCTCTGGACGTGCAGGCTCAGCGGCCATGGCTCACGGGCCCAGCCGCTCCGCGGCATGTGGGATCTTCCCAGACCAGGGCACAAACCCATGTCCCCTGCATCGGCAGGCGGACTCTCAACCACTGCGCCACCAGGGAAGCCCTGTCCCCTTGTTTTATCCTCATGAAACCATCCCCAGTGCAACCATCAAGAAATCCTAATGTCTTCCGAGCAAGCAAGGAAGAAATCCTGTGAGAACTCAGAGATGCTCAAATTTGTTAAAGGAAAGAAGGTTGTTGTTCCAGCTGGCTTCTAAATATAGTCAGGCACTCAAAAATGTTGCTGCTGATTGACAGAGAAGGAGATGCTTGTCAAGAAGTAGAATTTTCCAATACTAAATGCAGTCTGGAACTCGTATTTCATTTATCTACATGCATATATGTAGATAAATTTCTATACATGTAAAACCTTTCAACAGTATCAGCTGCTTTGAACATAACACACTTGTACATAGTGGTAGGCGTTCTCTCACGTGAGCGTCCTTTGTTCTTCTAGTTCCGTCACCGGGGCAGCTTCAGCACAGAATCCACAGCGTGGGACATTTCCCAGTGTCTGTCCGGCAGCCTCTTAAAGCCACAGCCTACGTGAGTCCAACCGTTCAAGGCAGCAGTAACATGCCTTTATCCAACGGCTTACAGTTATACTCCAACACGGGGATCCCTGCCCCCAACAAAGCTGCAGCTTCTGGGATAGTGGGCCGCAGCGCACTCCCAAGACCTTCATTGGCAATAAACGGGAGTAACCTGCCTCGAAGCAAAATTGCACAGCCTGTCAGAAGGTAAGAACCTTTGCTCGTTCGTTTGCAGTCTGCACTTAGAAACTGCTCCAGGAACCATCCTGACTTTGCCTTTGTCTAACCCTGGTAGGTCACTCTGCCCCTTCTGGCCTGACTCGTGACCTCCTGCCTCTGCGTTCAATACCTTTTTAATCAATTTGTAATCAAAACGGGCAAAAATGTCGTTAGGCACATGCACATACACACCCTCCCCCAACAGTCATGATTTTAAAAGCATCTTAGTGATATTTAACTGGGGCTTTATTAGCTTATGTTGGTGTAAGTTTGGTATGTTCCAGGTAGAATTTTTTTTTTTTTCTTTCAACATTCCAGCCTGCTTGCAGGGCACCTGTTCGATGATCTTATGGTTGTGACGTGCCCTTCTTGAACTGGATCTCCTGGAGTGTCTTATGGTTAAAAACAATTCCATAAAAGTGAGTTGAGGACAGAGTAGAAGATGAGAAAATGGAGGCAGTAACTCAGCTCTTACAGGAAATTAGGATTTGGAGGAGGAGAGGGAGGGAACCATGGTAAAAGTGTGAAAAGGATGTGAGAACAAGTAATTTTTCTTTATGCATCGGGTTGCTATAAATAGTTTTTACTTTCCGATAAATAGGTGCTCAGATCAAAAACAAATTCAGAAACTATTGTAAAACAAACACAGAAAAGTAAATAATCCTACTATGCAGATAGAAATCATTTTGGTGCATGTTTGTTCAATGCCAGGCTGTGTTGCAGTTGTGACTGAATAGAATCACATAATTTGATGTATGTAGGTCATTGTGGACAGTCCATTTATCCTCGGATATATGTCTTCAAACTAACCTCTTGGAAGGGCTGTCACTGCCAGACAATGAGAGGGTCTGTTTCCACAAACTTAGGCAAACATTGGGTATTATCATTCTTTTTAAATCCTCAGCCAATATAATAGGCAAATCTTTGATTATTTGTAAGACAGAATAACATGAAGAAATTTTCAATTTGTATTCAATGAAGTAACCACTTATGTTTTTGGGCCATTTTTCTCCTGAGTTTATCTGTTTCTGATTTTAAAATATTCTTTATACACTAAGGGTATTGATCATTTTCCACTCAGGTTGCAAATCTGCTTGTGCACATACAACATGCGTGGCAACGTGCCGAGAACTGGGCTTTCCATCAGATGAGCATGTTGAAGGCCCAGAAATACAAGGCACACTTGGGAAGGTGCCAGCACGTTGTCACTGCTGGAGTGGCGGAGAGTAGATCAAAGTAAATGATGGGACTCGTGGGATTACTTACAAGCTGTGTCCTTTTTTCATTCCTTTATAGTTTCCTTCAGCCTCCAAAGCCTCTGTCTTCACTCAGCACTCTGAGGGATGGAAACTGGAGAGATGGTTGCTACTGATGCAGTTCTATGTACGTTTGAACAGCTGGAAAGAAGTGGAAATGAGGGTCGTGTTACCTAGCTGGCTGGGTAACAGCGGGTGTTGGGATATTCTTTCCCTTCTGCGTTTTAACATATTTACTGCATTGTTTTTCAATGGACCAATCACCAGAGACTAATTATTGCACTTAAATATTTGCCTGAGATACTGCAGCGTTCACAAATCCATGGTTGCAGTATTGTGACACTTAGAGCTAGGAAGTTTTTGTAGAACTGATATGTACCTGAATCCTTTTTGAGAGAATTGAGATGTATCCATAATGCTTTCTTTGCCATCTGAGTTTCTTAAAGTAACTTGTTCAATTTACTTACATGTTCTAAACATCTTCCCATTACATGTTCTGTATTTTACAGCCAGGTTCTATAACGTATGCTTTGAAATTCACTTTTTTATAGTTTACAGGAATTTTATTTTTTGTGCCTATTTCTTTTTACACCTACGTGAACCACTATGGAACAACTTAAATTTTGTGCCATAAAAATATTTTTGTGGTAAGGTACTATTTTTTTAGCTCTAGGGATATATCAGCAAAACTCCATCATAACAATTTGAGAGACATAAAATTATGTTGAATGAGCACAATGTAATCTGAAGCACTGAACACAGACAGCCAGACAACAGAGCGAAATGGTCTTGTTGTTTTCATTGTTAATTTATTGTCATACGTGGGTTTCATATTTATAATGGCATCACAAGCTCATTGCACTTAATACCTGCAATGTTTGCTACTGTACTACAATTGATTTTCAAAACTTTTATGAAACTGTAACATTTTATTAATAATGCTTCTGGAAATGAACGCATTTTAAAGCAAATAAATCTTTTTGATAGACCTTTTACAAAATCCATTTGCACTAATGAATGCTTTCTTATGGTATATGACTTAATATTTGTTACTGTGTACACTGCTGTTTTGGAATGTTCAGAAATAAAGACTATTTCAGCAGTATCAGGTCACGCATGGATGTGCAGCATAAACAGTACAAATACCACGCCTACGTTTCACCACGACTGTGAAAGTATTGTCATTGTTATGCTCTTGTACAGAGCATTTATACCTGAGGCAGGTAGGCAGAATATTTGCATTTGTAAACAATTCTCTCTCTCTAAAATGCTTAGGAGAAGAGATGTGAGGTTTTAGTTCTGCAGTGGGGTTTCGGTACCACTTAGGATGGTCACTAGAACCCAAGGAGCCTCTTGCCCAGAAACCCATTTGTGGAAGAATACTGTCAGTGGCGATTCCAGTATTTTATGGGGGTTGAACTTGAAGTATTTCTTTTCCCAGTGTCAGTAAAATAGCAAAGTATTATCATTAGTCTACACTATATTTGATGTACATTGGAAAACTTTTCACCTCAAGTTGCTATGGAAAGGTTAGGTAAAAGGTGTCAATGTTAAGTTTTAAAACAGTTCTCCTGAAGGTCATTAGGGATTTTTATTTTTAAGAAATGTGCCTTTCTACATAGTTCCATGGGGAACTAAAAGACTGGCTTTTAATTAGCCTGTCCTTTAAATGAAATGTGGGCTAGAGGAGGTGAGGTATCAAAGGAGAAGTGATACTTATTGAGCACTTTGTTAGTGACAAGCACTTTCTTAGTCACTTTGCTAGTGACTGTGCTAGAAATTTTTTATATATTTGTCTAATTATTAACAATCACCTCCTATTACCACCATTTAAAATGTAAAGACCCTGAGCCCAAGGGATGTGACATTAACCTAGGGTAAACATCTAGCTAGTAAATAGTGAAGCTGACTTTTGAATCCAGGTGTATCTGATCTCAAAAGTCTGGTTTTGCCACTACTGTGCTCTTCCTATGAACATATGTAGTTCAGTTAGTACATTTTTTAAAAATGAGTTTATATTCTGAGAAGGTGAAAGGATTCAACTCATTTGCAAATCAAGTATTTCATTTATATTCAAAAAAGTCTGTTCAGCCCTTGGAATAAAAACCAAAGATCCCTGTATCTTGGAATTTACATTCTAGTTAGTAGAGAGACAGTAAACCACATACAAGTGAGTAAATCACAGTACAGGTCTTAAGTGCTATGGCAAAAAAAGAAAAGGAGATGAAAGTAAGGGGGGAGGTGAGAAAATGGAGCTGGGGAGAGATCACAGTATTAAGTAGGATCATCTGGGTAGATCTCACTAAGAAGGTGACACCTGAACAAAGACAAAGTGGTGTTGGCGATTATTTTCACAGTTCTCCCCAGGATGGTAGTAACATTTATTCTAGATGCATAGGAGAGAATTTAATATATTGCATCAATAGATGCCCTAGGGTATGGTCCGCACATCAGCAGCATCAGCATCTCTTGGAAACTTATTAGAAAATGCAGATCCTCAGGCTCACCCCACACCTATTGAATCAGCCATCTAGGTGATTTACAGAGCTCCCTTTGAGAAAAGCTGCTGGAAAGGAGGGAGCAGCCGAGGCAACGGCTTAGGGCAGAGCGTGCCTGGGGTGTTTGAGGAAGAGCAAGGAGGCCATTGTGGCTGCGAGCAGAGGGAACAAGGAGGGAAGCAGTAGAGATGAGGTCCGAAGGGAGACAGGGAAAGATCACGTAGGGCATGTGGGCCACAATAAGGCTTTGATTTTACTCTGGAAATGGGAGCTATTCATGGTTTTGAGCAGCAGAGTTTATGATTTGACTTTTTAAAAGCATCACTCGCATTTGGTGAGAATAGACTCTTAAGAAATGAAGATGCCGTGAAGGTGACAGGATAGCAATGGAGGAGATAGAAATGGTCAGATTCAGGCTGTCTTCTAAAACTACAGCTATCAGGATTTCTTTATGGATTGGATATAGTGTGTTAGAGACCAAAAGAAAAACTCCAGGTGTTTTGGGCTGGCAACTAAAAGGATGGAGTTCCTCCAACAGAGACGGGGAAGCTGTGGGTGGAGTAGGCTGGAAAACCATGATTCTGGCTGAGCTCAGTTATGCTCTCTAGGGAGTTCCCTGGCAGTCCAGTGGCTAGGACTCGGCGCTTTCACTGCCGGGGCCTGGGTTCGATCCCTGGTCCGGGAACTAGGATCCCATAAGCCATGTGACACATTCTAAAAAAAAAAAGTTACGCCCTCTATCTCATGTGCATTCCTCACACTGTAACAAACCAGGACTCATACAGGAAAAGCGATCCTGAGATGCTTAGTTCTGCAACATGAAAGGGAGCTGTGGTGCTGAGTTAACACAGACAGTCTAGCCTGGCTGACATTTGTATTAGTTAGCTATTGCTGCATAACAAGTTACTACAAAACTAAGTGGCTTAAAACATTATTATCTCAGTTTCTGTGGGTCTGGAACCTGGCCACAGCCTAGCTGGGTCCTCTGGCTCAGGGTTTCTCACAAGGCTGCAGTCATGCTGAGACTCACTAGGGAAGAATCTGCTTTCAAGATCACTCACGTGATTGTTGGGACGATTCATTTCCTTGTGTGCTATTGAGTAGAAGGTACCATTGCTTTTTGCCACACGGACCTCTCCTTGGGTAGCTTACAACATAGTGGCTTACTTCATCAGAATGAACACGAGAGAGAGAGAGGTTGGGAAAGAGAGTGTGAGCCAGAAAGCTGGAAATTTTTCTGTTGTAACTTAATTTTTAGAAGCGACAGCCCATCCTTTGCGCCATGTTTTATTCATTGGAAGCAAGTCACTATGTCCAGCCCTCATTTAAGGGGAGGGGATTGCACAAAAATGTTAATACCAGGAGACAAAGGTCATTGAGGCCATCCTAGAAGCTGCCTGCAGAACACTGCCAACCACTTTACTAGATAATGCCAACCTAATTTCCCATTAATTGTATTACTACTGTACATGTTTGCCAGGAGGCTATGAGAATTCCTGTTACTACACACATTTGGTATTGTTAAAACATCTTTAACTTTTAAGTCTGTGGGTATCTAGTTGTGTCTCATGGTCTTAATTTTCATTTCCTTGGTTGTAGTGAGATAGAATACCTTTGCATTTGTTTATTGAACATTTGCATATCATCTTTTATGGATTCCTGTTCAGGTCTTTTGTCCATTTTTCTATTGGGGTTTCCTTACTGATTTGTAGTAGTTATTATATAGTCTGCTACAAACCTTTTGTCAGTTATATGTGTTAAAACTATATCTTCACACTGTGTAGCTTACCTTTTAATTCTTTTAATGAGGTATTCTGATAGAATTATTAATTTTAACATAGTACATATTTACCATTTTTTTTTAAAGATTAGCCGTTTTGTGTCTTGTTTAAAGAGTATTTCCTGACCCTGGAATTGTGAATATAATCTCCTGTATTCTCAACGTTTTATTTGCTTTTCACCTATATTTTATATTGTTCATGTGGATTTATAGTTGTCCTAGTAACACTTACTGAAAACTTTGTCCTTACCTCACTGTTCTTTGTCATAATCAGATGTCTTTGTGTGTGTATGTGTCTCTTTCAGAACTGTCTATTCCTGTACCAGAACCATACTGTTTTAATCTCTATAGACTTATAATTACATTTTGCTAAATAGAGTAGTTTTACTATCTTTTCCTTCAAGTGTGTCATGGATATTCTTGTCCCTTTGCATTTCCACATGTATTTTTAAACAAACTAGGCAGAAAAACATCCTGTTGGAATTTTGATTGGATTGCATTGAATTTATAATTCAATATGTTGGAAATTGACTGTTTACATACTGAGTCTTAAAAATCCATGAACATGGTCTACCTCTTCTTTTATTGATTGAGGTATTCTTTAATCTCTCTCAATAAAATTGTGCAAGTTCTTCCCAGAGGACTGAAATGCCTTTTGCAAGATTAATTTCTAGGTATGTGATACTTTTTTATGCTATGTGATACTTAGATATTTTTAAAATTTCATTTCAAATGTTTTATTCAACCACCTTAAATTTATGTTAGTTAATTTATACTTAGAATCTTTATATACACAGTCAAAATGTATGAATGTTAGATTTCTTTCTTTCCTATCCTATATCTTTTTCTTTTTCTTGCCTATGGTCTTCAATGCAGTAGTAAATATAAATGATAATAGATATCTATCTCTTTGCTAATTCAAAAGGAAAGCTTTCTCTTTTCTTACCATTAGGTTTCAGATTTTCTAACAGTATTTTATCATAAAAGAATGAATTTTAAACAAACTTTCTGCATCTATTAAAATAAGACTATCTCATTTAATCTGTTAATATGCTGACTTTATAATGGATTTTTCTAATGTTGACTCAACCTTGAATTATTGAGATAAATCCAATTTGGTCATGTTGCATTACTCCTTTTTAAAATAGATTGGTTTCATTTACTAATATTTTATTTAGGAGTTTTGTCCAATTTTTGAATAAAATTGTTTTTTAATTTTTCTTTCTCAAACTGTCCCTATTAGGTTTTGGAATGAAGACAGTCTCATAAAATGAATTGGGGAGTACTATGTGTTTTTCTAGCTGGGAGGATTTATGTAATATTGGAGTTATTTCTCCCTTAAATATGTGATAAATCTCACTGGTAAAGCCACTGGGGCCTGGAGTCCAGTCAAGTCATGTTTTTAAAATCTGATGTTGTGTTTATTCTGCTTCCAAAAGCATGATTAAACCTCCTACTTTATTGGTGGCTTATCTGTACACTCCTCTACTCTTCATAGTTCTATCAAATTTTGTGTTGTCTTTTTAGGCCACATCATTTGGTGTATACATATTTAAATATCTTTTATCTTCCTGGCAAAGTGAACCTGTTATCATGGAACTAGTCTTCTTTATCTTTCTTTTTAATGTCTTAAAAAATCTATTTTTCAGATATTAAATAGCTACATATTTCTTTTAGTGTTTATATGATACATATTTTTAAACCTTTGCTTTCAAATTTTATTCTTGTGTTAAACAACATACAGTTCAGGGTTTTTTAAACCTAGTATGAAAATCTTTGCCCTTGAACTTGACCATTTAAGCCATTGTATATAAAATAATTACTGACATATTTAGATACAAATCTACCACCTTCTTATGAGCTTCGTTTGTTACATCTGTTCCTTTTCCCCCCATTTTTGTCTTCCTTTAGATTGTTTTTTTTTAATTCTGCTTTTCTCTCCTATTAGTTTGAAAATTATACCCTAATCCTCCTTTGCTATTCTTTTAGTGGTTACCCAAGAAATGACAATTTGCGTCCTTAACCTGTCAAAGAATAATCTACCTTTATCATCCTCGTAGGTAACAGAAGGACCCCCAAATCTCCCTACATCTAATCCTTAAATTCATGATTCAGTCAGGGATTAGGGAGAAGAGACCATAGATAGATTTTTGGGCTGTCTAAAATTCAGAGAAATCAGAATTAGCCATGTAAACAATGCAACACTATGCTAAAAGATGTTTAGAGAAAGAGTGGTGATGGGACCAAGGGAATGATCAGCTTTGGTGAGGTCAGCAATTTGATCTTAAAGCAGGTCCTGGGTTCACTCATCCAACAAATATTTATTGAGAGCCTACTATTTGTCAGGCTTTGTGCTAAACACAGAGGATATCACAGCCAACAAGTCAGATGTGGTTCTACTTTCATGGAAGTGACATTCTTGATTCTAGTAAGAGAGACAGGTTCACATCTAACAAATACCATGTCCTTCCTATAAAGGAAGAAGCAAGGATCTAAGATACAGAATAACGGGATGGGAGCAGGGGGGCAAGGATGCTCCAGAAAGGCCTGTCTGAGAAGAGGACATTTAAGCTGAGGATGTATGGGAATTCATCAAATGAAGAGAAAGGGAAAGATTATTTCAGGTAGAGAGAGGGAAGAATTTGGAGTGCATAAAGGGCCAAAAGAAGGCTGGTGGGGCTGGATCTTAGTGTGCTGGTGGCTCAGCTGGCTCCATGCTTTGTGGGGTCCAGTACGAAATGAACTTTGAGAACATACTAAGAATTTCAGGATGGCAACAGTCCAGCATTAAACCAAATCACAGGGCCCTTCTGAGCACAGGCCTACGTGCCACTGCACAGGTCCCAGGACCACAGGAGAGGGAGGGGCATGAGCCTGTGGAACCTCAAGTAAGGAAGGGCTTTGAATTTTATTCCAAGTTCAATGGGAAGCTATTTATTAATAGTAACTCTAACACTCATGCTTCTCTTCCTATGTGCCAGACACTCAACTAAGTTCTTCAGAAGTTTTTACTAATTTAATCCTCACACAATCTTATTGTTCTAAAATTACACCTGTGGGATTTTAATTTGTGGAAGTGACTGAGTGATGACATCAAGAGGTCGATGCCACTGAAAGAAGACTTTTATTACTCATGTTTCCTGAAAGGAAGGGGCAGGTCACAGCACACAGAGGCAGGTTTTGGTCAGGAGGTGGAAGTCTAGGCCAGAGCCTTTGCTGGGGTTTCTGCAGGAAAGGCAATGCAAGGCAGAGTAAACAGTCTAGGATTGGCTGATCTGAATAATTCCAGGGGGCTTCGAGCTATAGGGGTGGTCTCCAGTTGCCTAGTACTTGGTCCTAGGGTGAT